CAGGATGTCCAGGATAGTTTCCCAGGGGCAAATGTTGTCGCCTGTTGAACGAGGTGACCTTGCTCGGGTCCCAGGTGTACGGTTCCTAAAATGGCTGCCATATACACGTCCACTGATAGGAGACGCGGAAGGTATTAAACTGATCAGAAAAATACTAAACACACCACTCCTATCTGGTGGCACATTAGCTTGACCGCGCAGTGCCCCAAATTTGAATTAAGAGGACCGACCAAGCATCTTCTTCCATCTCCCTGTTACAGAAATCACTGCCATATCCATACAAATTGTACAGAATGTCCAGGATAGTTTTCCAGGGACAAATGTTGTCGCCTGTTGAACGAGGTGACCTTGCTCGGGTCCCAGGTGTACGGTTCCTAAAATGGCTGCCATATACACGTCCACTGATAGGAGACGCGGAAGGTATTAAACTGATCAGAACAATACTAAACACACCACTCCTATCTGGTGGCACATTAGCTTGACCGCGCAGTGCCCCAAATTTGAATTAAGGGACCGACCAAGCATCTTCTTCCATCTCCCTGTTACAGAAATCACTGCCATATCCATACAAATTGTACAGAATGTCCAGGATAGTTTTCCAGGGACAAATGTTGTCGCCTGTTGAACGAGGTGACCTTGCTCGGGTCCCAGGTGTACGGTTCCTAAAATGGCTGCCATATACACGTCCACTGATAGGAGACGCGGAAGGTATTAAACTGATCAGAACAATACTAAAACACACCACAAATAAGGTTTCTCTCCTGTATGGCTCCTCAAATGATGCTTAAGATTAGAAGCGGCTGAAAAGCATTTCTCACACTCCAAACAAAAATATATTTTTTTAACATTCTCTCCACTTTGAACGAAATGACGTTTGGGAAGAGATTAATATAATTAAACACAGGCAGTAAAAATACAGTTTTTAGCCATACCCTGTAACTTTAAAACTACACATCCCATCTTCATAATTACAGATTTGGAATCAACACACTTAAAACATAAACATAACCAAAAATCAGCCAAATCCATCCAGGGGTTAAAAAGTTAGCTGGAGGTCCCTTTATGACCGACCGCAAGCACATTTTCCTGCCCAAAACAGTTCCATAGATTTGGGCTGTGAGGTCGGTCTATTTCAGGTTGAAAAAACGACTAAGTCCCATCGCCGAATGGGACTTAGTCTCTGCAGCTGAAATAAGGCTGAAAAAAAGACTAAGTCCCATCGCTGAATGGGACTTAGTCTCTGCAGCTGAAATAATTTCCCATTTACTGAACCAAGTGGGAAATAGCAAGGCAGGCACAAAGGGTTTGCACCAGGTCTGTGGACACAGGGGACACCGTCTTAAAGGGGCCGTGTCCCCAACAAGTCTGGGGACACGGCCTTAAAGGGGCAGTGTCCCAATCTTCCTGATGTCCCAAAAAAGGTGTTTAAAGGGCCAGCACCAGTCACATAAAGAGTCCATAAGCCCCAATATGCCCACCGACAGTCTTAAAGGGCCATACACACCAAATAAAAGTGCATACATTTTCACAATCTCCCAGGGCCATAGTCATGCGGGAGGAGGCTGGCAAATAGGCTTCTCCACAACCCAGGGAAGCAGGGCAATTTGCCATTTAAAGGGCCCGTTACAAATAGCAGTTTGTAACAAGGTGTCAATCCATATCTGCTAAGTGACCCGATGTAGGGGGACCAGTCCCTATTCTGCTCTGTGTCAGTGTGTACCAGGGAACCTTAGGACAGGTGTCAATCCATATCTGCCAAGTGACCCGATGTAGGGGGAACAGTCCCTATTCTGCTCTGTGTCAGTGTGTATCAGGGATCCTTAGGACAGGCGTCAATCCATATCTGCCAAGTGACCCTATGTAGGGGGACCAGTCTCTATTCTGCTCTGTGTCCGGGTGCATCAGGGGCTCTGAGGACAGGTGTCAATCCATATGTCAAGGTGTCAATATGTCATATGTCAGGTGTCAATCCATATTGATTGTGATTTAGGAATGTTAGGTGATTTCTGCCCTTTATGGATTAAAACCAGACTCTGTATCAACTGTGTAATTTTCCATGGGAGTTTTGCCATGGATCCCCCTCCAGCATGCCACAGTCCAGGTGTTAGTCCCTTTGAAACAACTTTTCCATCACTATTGTGGCCAGAAAGAGTCCCTGTGTGTTTTAAAATTCGCCTGCCCATTGAAGTCAATGGCGTTTCGGGCGGTTCGCCAGTTCGCGAACATTTGCGGAAGTTCGCGTTCGCCGTTCGCGAACCGAAAATTTCGGGTTCGCGAAATCACTAGTTAAAAGTTGAAAATCAAAAAGAAGCTGTCAGGGAAAAAAAAAAAAAAGGAAAAAGAAAAGGGAAAGGAAAGAGAAAAGAAGAGAGAGGAAAGAGGAGAAAAGAGAGAAAAGTAGAAAGAAATAAGAAGAAAAAGGAAGGAAAGCAAAGGAGAAGAAAGAAGAAAGAGAAGGGAAAGAAGAAGGAGAAAAAAAAAAGTGGGGGGAGTAAAATATAGTTTGACAACTTTGTAAGAACAACAAAATGGCAACTAGAAAAACTGCTATGGAGAAAAAGAAAGAAAATAAGGAAAATAAGTCAGCACATCCAGCAGAAAAAAGGATGTCCGGTTTCTTTTCGACCCCATCTAAAGATATACAAGAACGTAAAAGTGATAATGAAATAAATCCAGTAAATATTCTTAACATCAATATGGATCCTTCAATGACGCAAGAATCATCACCAGTTCCTGAAACAATGAAAGAAATTTTACAGGATCAGCTTAAATCACTACTAGAGGCACAATTCAATATGCTAAAACAAGATATGCTTAAGAGTCTTGAAGATATAAAACAAGATACTAACAGAATTGCTATATCAGTGCAAGCTATGGAAAAAAAACTTGTCTTGTTCGATAATCAATTAGGCACAGTTAATGAAACAGTGCAGTCATTAACAAATAAAACTTTAATTTTGGAACATAAAATAGCTGCCCTAGAAGACAGATCAAGACAATTTAATTTAAGACTTAGAGGAATACCTGAAGAAATAACAACGGAGAAATTAAAAGATTATTTATGCAGCCTATTTAAAGAAGTCTCTCCTGAGACAACTGATTATCAAATAGAAAAATTTCATCGAATACGAAAACCTAACATCAGGGCCGGCCTTAGGTGATCAGACGCCCTGTGCGAGCCCAACATATGGCGCCCCCCCCCCTTCAGCAAAACCTCTGCCCCTTCTACAATAGCCCTGTTCCGCCTTCTACAAAACCCTTCCACAAACCCCAGCCCCCTTTCTACAAAAACCCTGCCCCCCTTTTTACAAAACCCCTGCCCCCTCTACAAAACCCCTGCTCCCCCTTTAATAAAACCCCTGCCCACCCTTCTATAATTTTTTTTCTCCCCCTTTAACAAAACACATGCTATCATTATATATATCAACTATACAGCAATGTTCACATAATATCACTAAAAACCTTCCCCCTCCACCAAAACCACTGCCACCCTCTACAAAAGTCCTGCACTCATTCTACATAAACCTCTGCTCCCCTTCTACAAAACCCATGCTCCCCTTATTCTAAGCCCCTGCTCCCCTTCAACTAAACCCCTGCTCCCTTATACTAAACCCCTGCCCCCCTTATACTAAACCCCTGCTCCCCTTATACTAAACCCCTGCCCCCTTATACTAAGCCCCTGCTCCCCTTATACTAAACTCCTGCCCCCCTTATACTAAAGTCCTGCCCTGTTATACTAAACCCCTGCCCCCCTTATATTAAAGTCCTGCCTCCCCTTATACTAAACCCCTGCTCCCCTTATACTAAACCCCTGCCCCCTTATACTAAACTCCTGCCCCCTTATACTAAACCCCTGCCCCCTTCTACTAAACCCCTGCTCCCCTTCTACTAAACCCCTGCTCCCCTTATACAAAACCCCTGCTCCCCTTATACTAAACTCCTGCCCCCTTTACAAACCCCCTGGTCCCCCTTCAACAAAACCCATGCCCCCTCCACAAAATCCTTTCCCCTGCCACTTCACCAGAAATGCCTGCCCCCTCTTCTACAAAACCTCTCCTCTACACCAAAACCCCTACCCCCTTTTTTACAAAACCTCTAACCCCTTCTATAAAACCTCTGCTCCTCCCTAAACCAACCCCCTTCTACAAAACCCCTTCCCCAAAATCCCAGCGAGAAAACCTCTGCTCCCCCTTCTGCAAACCCCCACACACACACACACAAAAACAACAATCTATTTAATTTAAAAAAAAAAAAAGCAATAGTTACAACAAGAATAAACAGACTCACATTAAAGCTTGCTGCTCCCTGGAACCTCCTGACAGTGTCCCAGTCTGCCGACCTTGATACCAGCACTGACCTCCTCCCTCACACTCACTGTGCGGATCCTTCCGCGGATGACTGTGGAGGCGGAGCATGCTCTTCCTCCGTGCTCCTGACCTCCTCTCTCTCCCGGCCGCTGCTCTCTTCATAATTTGCAAGTCAAGTGCGCAGCATAATGCACTTGACTTGCTCTGCACATGACTCGGGCCGGCATGTGAGTGACTGAGTGCGAGCTGTGCTGGCCGCCCGGCGCCCCTGTTGCCATGGCGCCCTGTGCGGCCGCACAGCTCGCACACCCCTAAGGCCGGCCCTGCCTAACATAATCGCAGCACATCTCCCAAGAGATGTTATAGTGAGCTTCTGTTTACTTTCAGCTAAAAACAACTTGATTAAAGCCAGACGTACTAACCCTTTAGAAAATTCTGTCTATAAAGATATATATTTTTTGCAAGATCTATCTTATTTTACTAGAACATGGAGGAAGTCTTTCTCAACTCTTACGGATTTTCTGAGGAAAAAAGACATTAGATTTCAGTGGAATACTCCGGCTTCCTTGAAATTCACTTGGAGACAAGAAAGACTTTCCTTCACCGATTCGGAAGAAGCAAAAAGCTGGTTAGCAAGAATCCAAATATGAAAACAACTAGACTGTGGAAGCAGAATGAAAAAGGGAGGAAGAAAAGAGAGAGAAAGGATTTTTTTTTTTTTTTCTTCTTCTTTTTTGCGATAAAATTAGCAATTTGGACACTAAACGGTTATGTAAATGCCAATTTTTTATTTTATTTTTTTTTTAGAAGAACTTATTTAAATCCTATGATATATGTAATTTTTCAATAACAACTATAAGAAGGAAGAGAATCTATTAGTATAACGATACATAAGAAAAGTAGTTCTCATATGCATATGGTTGGAGTTTAGGCTATCTGCAATGCATAAAAATGTATGAAGATAATGTGTTGTGGGATAGAAGGTTGTTGGAAAGAAAGGAGAGTGAGGGGAGAGAGAGAAGAAGAGAAAGGGAAAACTTTTTCTCTTTTTTTTTTCTCTCTCTCTCTTTCTCTTTTGCGATAAAATTAGTAATTTGGTTTAGGACACTAAAAGGTTATGTAAATGCAAATATTTTTATACAAATTAAGCAGAGAAAGTACTTTAAAAACTTTTTATTCATTATAAGATTATATTAGATAAGTACCTCCTATATTTCTACGTGCATACTGTTGCAGTCTAGGATATTCGTAACGTATAAAAGCATATGAAAACAATGTGAAGTTGTTGAAGTAAAAGGAGACACAATAGTTATTATAAATATCTGTTCACATTTTAGTTAAGAGGGGCGTAAGGAAGGGGAAAGAAAAAAGAAACGAAAAAGGAAAAAGGGGACTACCCATTAGGCTGTTAATATATGGATGAATGGGAATAATGTGACAGACTATGTTATAAAATAGACGCTTGTAATATTCTTCATTCAACTTTCATTCAAACTTCATTTAAGCTGTTTATTAAGGTTTTTTTACTTTACGCTCAATTAGGAAAATCTGACTAAGTTGTGTAGCATAGATAGATAAAATAGATGGATATTGAGATGGGTCTCTTGGGATTGAAGACTGTCTAGATATATTTTAGGAATTAGAAGTAAAGAAAAAAGCGGTGTGTTTTTTTTTTTATTATTTATTTATTTTTATTTATTTTATTTTTTTTGTTTGACTTATAGATTTGATAAAGTAAAAGAGGACAAAATTCGTTGAAATTATCTGCACTTATATTAGCAAGAAAAGGGGAAGGGAAGAGAGAGAGAAAGAAGAAAGAATGGAAAGATATATTCACTAAGGAGTTTATTTTTAGAAATAAAGGTAGTTATTTGTAGTATATGACACATGTAATTATAATTAATACTAATAAGAAATAATGAGTTGGTTCAATAAGGATAAATTTGATAAAAACTAAATCTGTTTGTATGTGCACAAGATTGAATTAGAAAAATTGTATGGATTGACTCGTTTATTACTGCACACAAAGGGAACAGAAAAAAGGTTGAGGGAAGGAGAGATAGGGAAAAAGAAAGGATACACGGAAATAATGTAATGGAACACGATGATAAATGGATTATTATAAATATTTTTCACTTAATTGACACCTATTTTATAATAGTTATATTTAACTGATTGATTAGGTTTTTTTTTTTTCTTCCTTCTTTGAAGACCCACAGATAAAATAGATGAATATTGAGTTGAGTCTTTAAGTTTGAAGACCACTCATTTACACCTTATTGTACATAGGATAGAACAACTGGAAGTGATGAGGGAGGAAAAAGAAAAAGGAGGTAAAGAAGAGAGGGGTATTTTTTTTTTTTGTTGTTTCTCTCTCCCTCTTGTTGTAAAATAGATTAAAGGGTTTTATTATATAACATCGCCCAAATCCGGACAGTCCTACTTAGTGTCTATTCAATAGACATATGACTAGACAGACTCTCCTGTCGGTGAGTCAATAGTCTATGTGCTTAAGGAGGATGATATCCTCCTATAGTTTTAGATATATGTTTTTTGTTTTGTGTATGTTTGTGCAGCAATAGAGGAAAAAAGGGAAGATTACTATGTCGAGACGAAAGGAAAGAGATTTGAGAAACTCTAATGATAAGAATGTTAACTCTTAAGATCATAACGGTGTAGTATGTGTAATAGAAGTAGGAAAAAATACAAAAAAGCCATATAGTTGGCGTCTAAACGACAGTTTGCTCAGTTTTGAAGCAAATAAAAAAATCTATGGAAGTAAACATAAATAATTATTTCAAAGAAAATAACACAGAGGATATCGATCCATCCACTTTGTGGTGCGCCTTTAAATCAGTAATAAGAGGTCATTTTATTAAACTCCAAAGCCAAACTGATAAAGGTATTAGTCTATCTCACCTTTATGGTCAGTTAGGGAAGTTGATTCAAAACAATAAACAAAATCCAACAGTTGAAAATTCCGAAGAAATATCAGCAATAAAGGACAAAATTAACCAAAAATTAATGGAAAGAACGGTTAAAAGCTTAGATAGATTAAAATTAAAATATTATTCTAAGGGTAACAGAGCCGACAAACTGTTATCACAAAAATTAAGAAAACAAAAGGGTATAAATAAAGTAGAAAAACTTATAAACAATGGAACAACTGTAGTAATTCCAAAACAAATAGGACAACAATTCAACGATTTCTATAGTAAGTTATATAACATTCCTCAAACTACGACAGATGAAGACATAAAAAAATATCTAGAAAAAATAAATAACTTTAAATTAACAGAATCACAAAGTGAAGCAATAAATATATAACTATAGATGAAATAATGAAAGCTATAAATAATTTGGAGGAGTATAAAACCCCAGGTCCAGATGGATTTAGTAATTTATTCTACAAAATATTTAAAGAATCAATTTGCCCTTATATGACTAATGCCTTTAACAGTGCAGCTAAAAGAGGATCTCTCCCAACAGAGATGTTAAAAGCTAATATTTTACCAATTTTAAAACAAAATAAAAACCCTACTGATGTTAAAAATTACCGTCCAATATCCTTGATAGATGTTGACACTAAACTATATGCTTCAGTGTTGGCCGCTAGAGTTAAAAAACTTTTACCATTGATCATACATCAAGATCAAGTAGGTTATGTCCCTGGCAGAAACTCTTATACAAGTATTAGGAAAATTGTCAACATCTTAGATGACGCTAATAGAAATAGAGTTCCAGTTTTGGCTCTGTCGATTGATGCTGAAAAAGCATTCGACAGAGTCAACTGGATTTATTTGGATGCGGTATTGTCACACTACGGTCTTGATGGTTGGATTAAGAAAGCCATC